GAGACCTTTGACAACATCAGAGCAGCCGGGGGGAAGATGTGCCCAAAGCCAGAGAAGATCGAGTGCCGTGCAGAGAACTACCCCGAGGTGAGCCTTGACCAGATCGGTCAGGTGGTGACCTGCACCCTCCAGGAGGGACTGATCTGCAGGAATGAGGACCAGCAGGGCCGCTTCCACATGTGTTTCAACTACAATGTGCGTGTCCTCTGCTGTGACGACTACCAGCATTGCAGGAGCACTTTGGGACCCACGGCCACGTCCAGGAGCACCTCCACCACTGTGGGGCCCAGGACCAGCCCCATGTCCACCACTTCCATGCCCATGGGCGCCACCTCACCCCAAAGCAGAACCCGAGCTTCTACACCCACCTTGGGGAGCACCCTCTCCTCCCAAAGCTCAACTCCTGGCCCTGTGTCAATGACCTTGGCCACATCACCCACCAAGTGTGAACCCCAGTGCACCTGGACAGACTGGATGGATGAGAGCTACCCTGTGCCTGGAGCAGCTGGTGGGGACTTTGAGACATACGACAAACTACGAATGACAGGGAAGTCCTTCTGTGACAATCCTGTGGACATCCAGTGCCGGTCAGAGCTGCAGCCAGGCACACCCCTGGAGGCCCTGGACCAGGTGGTGGAGTGCAATGTCACCTTCGGGCTGATCTGTCGGAACCAGGAACAGAGAGGGACCACCAAGTACTGCCACAACTTCCACATCCGTGTACTGTGCTGTGAGAGTCAAGTTAATTGTCCTTCCACACCACCAGCCACCACGGGAATAACCCAGACACCCACAGTGGAGACCACCAGCACCACCACATGGCCTCCCATTCCTGGGACCTCCAGGCCCAGCACCATTTCACCGACACCAGTAATAAGGACCACCAGTATAATTACTTTCCCATCAACCTTAACAGCTGGAATAACCAGCACCATCAGATCAACCCCAACCCCTGAGACTATCAGGACAGTTGCATCAAGACCAACTCCTGAGATCAGCAGGACCAAGACCATGCCATCAGCCCCGACACCTGAGACAAGCGGCAGCATCACATCAACCCCCACTCCTGAGACAAGCAGAATCACAATTACACCATCAGCCCCAACACCTGTGACAAGCGGCAGCATCACATCAGCCCCAACACCTGTGACCGGCAGAACCACAATTACAGCATCAGCCCCAACACCTGAGACAAGCGGCAGCATCACATCAACCCCAACACCTGTGACAAGCAGAATCACAATTACAGCATCAG